TAGTATTTTATCTTTGCTCCTAATCAAACCAAGTGGAGAGAATCTCAGACATGCACAGGGTTCACCCACAATTCAAAGGCTGGAGGGAGCCATGTTCCCTAGCTTCAACAAAGCAGAATGCGCTAGAAGCAAATACATGCTCTGTACTTCTATCTGCGGCATCTCTCGCTCTTTCTGTGGGGGCAGGGGATGAGAAGGAGCGTGATGGGTCCGCAGGGTCAGACTGCAATGGAGTCAGAGCTGTGAGGGCTTTAATGAGGGTGTCTGCACAGAGCACAGTGTGGGCGAGGACAAAAGGTGAGCAGGAGCAGAGCAGAATAGCAAGCAAAGCTGAAGGCGTGACAGGCTAATGGCTTCCAGGGCAAGAAGGTGCCTAGAAGAAGAATGAGAAAAGCACTTCAGCAATGTTGGTCCCTAAATGCAGTCCCTGAACACGGTGACTGAATACCAAACCGGAACGGCTGAAGTGGAGCCGAAACGCTGAAAGGGAGCCAGGCTGAGAGAGTGGCCGGGAAGGCAGTGGGGCGAGGCCCTGTAGACCTGCTCCGGCCCTGGCCAGCGCACCCCAGCCGGGGCCCTGAGACGCGTCCGTCCAGGGCTGCCACTGGCAGCTGCTCTCCTGGCAGCACAGAGAGACGAATCCCTGGCATTGCTGGGCCAGCAGCTGCTACAACTCCGGGGGAGGCGACGAGTGCCCGCTGAGACGCCCTGGGCAGAGAACGAACTATTCTAGGGCTCAGCCCTAGCATCAGCAAAACCGAGAATACACTTGACTGGCTGAATGAAAATGCAGCATGACTGCCACTTGAGAGACCCAGGAAGCCCACTGCCCTTCCTCTGTTCCAGCTTCTCTGACTTTGATTGCTTCTTGCCCTCCCACTTCTATTTCTGCGGGCACGACTTCAGGCCAGGTTAACCCTAGGCTCACTGCCATACCTTCTTAACAGGCTTCCCAGTCTCTTCCCTCTGATTGATCCTATGTGGTGTTGCCATAGTTACCTTCCCAAAGCACAGCCATAATTATGTTCCTTGCTCAAAAACTATCAATGGCAGGGACAACCGGGTGGCTCAGTGGTTGAGCGTCGGCCTTGCGCTCAGGTCGTGATCCCGGAGTCCTGGGATCAAGTCCCTTATTGGGCTCCCTGTGGGAAGCCTGCTTCTCCCTCTGCCTGAGTCTCTGCCTCTCTCTTTGTGTCTCTCATGAATAAATAAAATCTTTAAAAAAAAAAAAACTATCAATAGCTCCCCACGCTTACAGAATAAACCCTGTCACCTGGCACTTCCAGACCACTATGATCAGGCCCCTACAACTTTTCCAAGCTCATTTCACATTTGAATGTATTATTCCCGTTCTTCAGCAAAACAAATAGGCTACCCCTCAGCCTTGTTTTTCCAACTCTGTGCCTTTACCAACGCTATTCCCTCTCCCTAAAATGCTTCCTTCCCCATCATTCTATCCTCCTTCTACAACTTCCACATTGTCTCAATTGAATTCAGCTCATAGGACCAGTCTCTAGCACTCACACTTGTATTTTCCCATTTCCCACCCACTGTCCTTCACCTTCATGAGGCCCCACCCAGTCCCCAACCTGAAGAAATGTCTATTCTCTATGCACTTGTGGCACTTTGTACGGGTGGGTGGACATGGTCTTTCACAGACCATGTGGCAAGGCAGCAAATAGTCCCCCACTATGTTTCCTCTTCTCCTACACAAACAGAAATTCTTCCTCTGGTCTCCCCACACAAGAACCCAGAGGGCTCACTACCATGCCCTGGCCTCGGACCGGACGACTCTGCCTATCTGCCAAAGAGCCATTATTTGGGGTCTATTCCACTTATCTAACTTTATCTTCCACTGCTTTTGAAAATATCTCTGTTCTCATAATATTTTGCTCAGACCTCCATGAAGCCCATTTTACATTACATGTAATGTTCACATGTCTCTCTTCCCTATTAGCCAGGATTCCAGAGCTTACCTCAGTCTTACAGGAATCAGCACAGGGCGCAGCACTCAGTAGATGCTTAAAAGGGGTTTGTTGGGTAAGTAGATCATTACTCAGGATGAGACCAGACAGGAAGCGATTAAAGTAAACTAGCCATCAAGTGACAGCAAAAGGAGTGGAGAAGTCCCCCCTTACAGGCTCTTGGGGGACCTGGTACTTCTGTTCCATAACACTTACCTCAACTCAACTAACTGTGTGATTTGTCTCCCACGGTCTCCTCATCCCGTTTAAGTGCCCTGTGCTGGAGGCAGTGCCTGTTCATGGCTACATCCCAAGGCATAAGGTCTGGCCTGAAGGAGTTCAAGGTATGTGCAATGCACATTTGTTGAATGAATGGAAAAGTAACTTGTTTTTAATGAGGCTGGATCCCCCACCAATCCCTGTATGTCCTCTGCAGAGAACATTCTCGTTTCCTCTCCCTAGTGTGTACCATTGTCCTCTGCTATATAAATCTTTATATAGCTTTACCTTTAGAGCCTAGCCCAAGTCCCATGTGCTTCCTGAAAACTCTTCTGATTGTTCCAGATCCTTTATCTATCTCTGATGATTTATCTCTGACCTCTTATCACATCTACAATTCTACACAAAACCAATGATTTCTTAATGAGATCATTATTGCTTTACTTTCTAGTTGCTTCTTGTATTAAAAATCTTTCCTCCCCAGCCAGATATGGCCCCCTGTGGAGACTCACAATAAACTTCTCTTGTATCTCCCAATGCCCATATAACAGAGTACACAGATGGCTCTAATAAATACTCACTGGTTGTTTGTGGGAACATGAAGCCAGGTACCAGCTTTATCAGAAGGGAAATCAATTCTTCCAAAACACTCTATTCTTTGTATGTGATCTTAATTAGAGCAATCCAGCTGACTTACAGATTAGCACATCTGTACTGTAAATAAATGTCTTTAAGCTGAAAATATGATATAGTACTAAAAATCAAATGCTATTTTAAACTTAGGAGTAGCTTACCAACAGAATAAATCCAACTTTGAGTCATTTTTTAAAGCAAACGATTTCTCTCCCAAATCTTCATTTATCATATACTAAAATAACATTTTATTCTCTCAGGATTGCTTATTATAAAGAGAATAGGACTTGGGAAAGATAAGGAACTCCGAGGACAAAACATCTGGAGGAAATTCTCATTCTGGCTTATATTGAGAGTGTCATATGTTCTCCTCAAACTTAGCCTCCATATCCATTGCTCAGAGCTGGTTTGTAAAGGATAATTTGCGTCCCAAATTATTAGAGTGATAAAAGTAGAAAATGGAGGAAAACAAGATATACGTGGCATTCATTCCTACATTCATTCATTTATTTACTCATCCAATAATGTTTAGTAAGCATCTAGTATAAACCACATACTACACTAGGCCCTGTGAGAGGCTGAAAAATGAATCCGAAAAGGTTATACCGTCCACTAAGGGAAGAAAATGAAAGGCAGACAATACCGAGTGCCCTAATATAATAAAAGAAAAATAAAATGCTGTAAGAATTCAAAAAAGGGAGAACATTCTTTCCTCTGGGAGAATCAAGAAAGTTTCTTGGAACATGATGCATCTGAGATGGGTCTCAAAACATAGGTATGCCTTTGACATGCAGAGAGATGTGAAGAATGGGTACCTAAGTTTAAATAAGAGGATGGCAAAGGCTCTTTGGAGATAATGTTCCATTTGGCTAAGGTATAACAGAGAAAGGAAAAAACAAAACAGGAAATAAGGTTGGAAAGCTAGTCAGGGCCAGATGTAGAGGGCCTTGAAGGAACAAGACAAGGAGTGTATACCTTTATGAGTAAAGCAGCACTTCTCAAACTTTAACGTGCATACAAATCATGTGAGTCTCTTGTCAGGGTAGATCTGGGGGTGGGACCAGAGATTCTGCATTGCTATCCTAGGTGGTGCTTATACTGGGAGACCACACCTTGAGCATCAAGAACAGAGAAAGTGGGAAGCCAGTGCACAGAGAACCTGCCCAATCTCCAGTGTGTTCCAGGAAGGCTAAACCCGGTACAAGTGCATCGGGCAGACTGGATCAGGGAAAAGCCATACACTGTGGACCTCAATGCTGGTTGTTTGTTAGAATCATCTGGGAAGTTTTTTCACCATACTGTTACCCAGGTCCCACTCGCAGAGATTCTGACTTAATTGCTTTGGGATGAGGCCCAGATTTCAGCATTTTTAAAAAGTTCTCCAGAGAATTCTAATGTGAAGCCAGAGTTGAGAACCTCTGCTGTAGATGATACAGTGAGTAATGCAATCATTCAGACAGCAAGGATGATGATCTAAACTAGGGCAACAGCAGTGAGGACAGAGCAAAAGGGTCACTTACATAAAATACTACACAAGGACTAGATCTTTGCAACCATGTGGGCAATGAGTCAGATGTATGGCGATAGCATCATTCATTTCTTCCAGTTAAAGACAGTTTGGTCAATTGGTTAAGAACAGACTCTGGAGCCAGACTGCCTGGGTTTGAATCCCAGCTTTGCTATTGATTTACTAAGGGTGTGTGTGTGTGTGTGTGTGTGTGTGTGTGAGAGAGAGAGAGAGAGAGAGAGAAAGAGAGAGAGAGAGAGAGAGAGAGAGAGAGAGAGAGAGAAAACTTAGGCAAGTTCCTTAACTTCTTTATGGCTCAGTTTCCTCATCTGTGAATTTGGGATACAACAACAACCAACACACAAACTTGGTGTAGAGCTTAAATGAGCTACCATAAATGTAAAACCCTTAAAACTACGTTTAGCACACAGGAAGAGCTTTGAAAGTATCTGCTGTTATTCTTAGCACAATTCACGATTTCTTCTGACCTCTCTAGGATCTTGACCTTTCATGATCTGGCAAAAGAGAAGTCCTGGAGGCCTCTCAACCCTCAGCCAGTTTGAGGTCCCTGGGGCACCTTTCATGAATGCACATGGATCTAGATGGCACACCTTGCCTGACCCCCTCCCCAGCCCCATTCCCAAGGTTTCTGTGAGAAACAGCCACAGAGTCCCTACTTGAACTGCTGGTCCTTGGTGCTGCGTGTCTTGGCCAGGAATCGCTCAGCCAGCTTCTCCAGATTGCGGGAGTAGTCCATCTCGATCTCTGCCTTCTTCCGGAAGAAATCTTGGAGGTCCTGCAGCAGCTGCACCCGGAGCTCACACTGCTGGTCCAGGCATTTCATCTGCTCCGTGAGCTGGGCGCGGATCTCTGCAACAGAAACAAGGTCAGACAATCAGACGGAAAACCCTAAACACAAAACAGAACAAAACAAAAACACACATGCCAACATTTACCCCTTCCATTTAGTCAAGACCTTAAAGATTTTAATTTAAAAAAAAAAAAAAAGGCTAAAGCTTCAAATGGCCCTATGTTATGAGGCACCTCCAAAAATTCCACCAACTCTTCTGGGACCACTAAGAAACTGGAACCAGGAATCTGCTGAATCACTTAAGAGAAACTACTTACTAGACAATATGATATTCAGTTACCATTTATTGAGCGATTTACTAGGTTTCTGGCACAGTGCCAGAATTTGGGTTCCCTTTTGGCTAAAAGCCTAATGATTTCTCTCTCAACCACCATATTTGGCAGGTACTACTTTCATCTCCATTTTATTCTATTCTATTTTATTTTATTAAAGATTTTATTTACTTATTCCTGAGAGACACAGAGTGAGAGCCAGAGACCTAGGCATAGGGAAAAGCAGGCTCCCCTTGGGGAGCCTGGTGTGGGACTCGATCCCAGGATCTTGGGATCACAAACTGAGACAAAGGCAGACGCTCAACTACTAAGCCAGGTGCCCCTCATCTCCATTTTAAAGATGAGAAAACTGACTCTTAAGGAAGTCAGGCTGTTAAAGTCACTGAGTTGGGATTCAAACCCAGAAAGACAGACTCCAGAGCCCAAGCTCCTACTTTTTATATTTTCTGCCATCATTTCAAAATGTTTTTCTGCATCTTCATGAAGGAAGATAAGGGTCAAGATATATTAATGGAGATACAGAGTTCTGCCCAAGGTCAAATAGTGGCAATCAAGAATGAAACAAGCCCCAGACTTCTAGGCAAGCAACCTTGCACTGTCACTCCATAGTTTCCAGTATCACAGAATGTAAATCAATCTTCAAGAAGTTGATTTTTTTCCACCAAAAAATATCATGCATACCAATGTTGCTTCATCCTCAATGATGCTCAGAGCCTCTGCTATGTCAAAGGTAGAAATACTTTGGGTTAAGCTCTAGCTTGACAGATTAGAGTCCTCACCACAAGGCAAGCAAGCACCCTCTCTAGAACTGCAGCAATGGTAGCTCCAGAGGCAACCAGAGCTGCCTCAAATGCAATACAGCATTTGTTACTGACAAGAGCCCTGGCACTCACAGGAAGCAGCTTGATAAAACCAGACTGCCTTTCAGCTCAGAGAAGGCCTACAGTTGTGTATCCTGCTAAAGTTATGCCCCAATCCCCTTTCCAGTTGCAATGGAGCCATTTCTTTCACCACTTTCCCCTGCAAGCTTGCTCAGCTCCAGCGCATTATGTTGTGACAGTGGCTCCAATCCCAAGGAAAAAGAGCACCTATATTATTATGCCTTTCCTTATTATGCATGTTCCAAATTTATTCCCAAATTGTAGAGTTAAAACAATGCTTTCTGTCTACACTATGTAATGCATAGGGGTGGGGCTGGAAGGGAGATCGAGAGTTTTCATTGAGCTAAGGAAAACTCAGGGGCAAATCCAAGACCAGAGCTATGATGTTGTAAAGTTTGCTGACCACTCTTATGAAGCAATGGCGATGGGTGAATGCAATGCATTTAGCTTTGCTTCGAAGTAGCTGGGGATCCGTAATCTATTCTTATCTTCGTTTTTGTCTCTGTTTTCACCCATATCAGAATGCAGCACAAGATCTGGTCCTTTATGGGTGATCTTGGGTTATCTGTAAGTGCTGTTCTCCCCCTCTTCATCCCTATGCCTCCTCCTCACCAACCATCAATGCCAATCAGGCCTACAGTAACCTCACCTGAACTGAAACTGAGCCCCGGAGGATTGTTTCAAGCAGACAGAAGGCTGAGCAGAAAAGCCGCCTACCTCATCACTCATCAAAGCTCTCTTGTTCTGTGTTTTTTTGGGAGTCTGATTACAAGGGTGTTGGGGAAAGATGTGCAGAGGGCAATGTCAGGCATATAGTTCTTGTCAGATTTCTGGGCCTCTTAAAGGCAACAGTCCTTGTCAAGACTATTCCTAGAGGCACTGCACCCCTTCTACCTATTGGTAGATAGAAGTAGAAGCCAGCAGTAGTAGCCATTGTGTGGGCAGACTGTGAGTGGAGAGCACTTTCACAGTGTTCATTGATGTTACTCACAACTGGCCCATAAAGGAGGAATCAGGGCATCTTAGGGCACAAAAGGCTCTCCAGGTACCCAGTCAGTTCCAGATTTGCAAGAGGATGTGGGTGGGTAATGGAGCTGTCAGCCCCCTCTGAGTCACCAATAATCACATAAGACTGCCTCAACAATCTCACTAAGTAGGAGAGCAGAAGGGAACATGGTAGAGTGCATGATGCCCACCCTCCACCACAAAAAGAGGTCAAGACAAATTTCCATGATACCCATGAAGTTCCAGAGGTAGGCCACTCCAGGGTTGCCCTGTCGAAGGAATTAGTACTTCATAGGTAGCCTCTGAAATATGTGAACTAATCTAAGAAGCCCCCAAAGCACATCCAGCCAACACAGAATCCCACCCTGACTTTTCCAGGTGCCTCAGGTGGGTAACACAAGAGAAAGTGCACCCCACTGCAGGCATCCCCTCAGGGACCCTGAGGATAAGACTTACTGAACACCTTTATGGGGCTTTATATGCATCATCTCATCTAATCTCCACAACTAGCCCATAAGGTATCCCCAATTATCCTGATGACAAAGGTAAGAAAAATGAAATAAGACCTGTAAAGTCAGTTATCAAAGGGTTATACAACTAAGTGAAAGTGAGGTTGAAACTAAATTAAGGTTTGTCTAACTTGCCAAAGAGGTTGACTGTGGCCAGGGAAACAAGAGAAACAGAACACAAGTCTGGAGTCTCTGAAAGTATTTCTGGGGAAATTACAGTTTCTATGGCTCCCACCCATAGACATCCCCTTCTCCACCTCTAGCTGAGCAATGATTCAGAATCAAGTATGAACTAGCCCACTAACTCAATAACTAGCTGATGTTTCAACTAGTTCACAATTGGGCTGGGTCTCTTCCCTGCTTCCTCGATCTACTCTACAGGGCAGCTTGGGAGGAAGTGTTTTTCTTGTCCCAGGAGCACACTCTGAGGTCTGCCAGTGTGCCCAGAAGGTAGAGAAAGTGAGAAAGCAATGATATTCCACACCCCATCCATAAAAAGAAGAGTCTCTGCTAATAGATACCGCCCGCTACTGTGGTTGATGCTCCACTGAGCATCTCCCTTCCCCCGCAACCTGCCTAGAAGGAGAAGCCTTCCTGGCTCCCAACCTCAGGGTATCTACACAGACATGTAAGGGAGACTCCAACCACCCCCGTCTCTTGGCTTGCAGCTCTAAGGCAGAATGGCTGCTCTGTCCAGCACAAAATGTGCTGCTTCAGACTTCTGCTGCTGCTGCTGCTGTTGCAAAGACAAACAATGGTCCCCAAGAAGGCAGCTGTGCCAGCTCCAGTCCTCTGTCCGTGCATATAAGGGACAGGAAACAATAGGCTACTGAATGCCAGCTTGCCTGGGCCATGTGCCCAGGCTGGAGGCCCCTCTGCACCCTGGCCTACCAATAAATTACAGGGGTAGAAAGAAGAATGGAGCAATTTATAAAAACATGGAGGAATTCCTCGTGTGCTTAGGCGAGTATGCACATGCACGCGGGTGTACACTCAAAACCACACGCTCACACTACCCACACTGTGCTTCACTGAATCAACTCAAGAAGGTTTTAGAGATCCAGTTTACAGTTGGATGAGCATCCCTGGGAACTGGAGATGATGGGGTCTTTATAGGTTCGGTTCCTAGAATTATATGGGAAGCAGTCAAGCTCTCATTTTCTAGAAGCAGCTGTATCTCAGGGGTGCAAATGAACTCCATGGCCATCCACAAAGCCAGAGTACAAAGGTTACCATGAGCTTTGAGTGATACACACCAAAATGACCTCCCGTGGGTACCTAAACACAGCTCATTTATTCACTAAATCTTTACTGAGCTCCTACTGTATGGCAGATCTTGAGCTAGGTGATGGTGTGAGGATGAACAAAATAGATCCATTCCCTGCCCTAATGAAGCATGGCTTGACAAAACAGAGAGGAAAAGAAAGCAAAGCCAGTCTTACTGCTTTTGCTTTGAATATTCTTTGTCATAACACAGCCACAGGAGTAAGTCCCAACCCAAGGACTAACAACTAAAAATTCATCAGTAGCAGACAGAACACACCAAACAACAAACCTAAGAAAAATGCAACATCCTCTGGCTCTTTTTTCTATTAGTTTTTTTTTTTTTCAATGACACTTCTGTAGCTTTCTTTGCAAAAAGAACCAAAGTTTTAGAACTAGTTTCCTGAAATCAGAGTTGACCTTTGGTTGTTACTTCATTCAAAGATTCAAGCCAAAATTTAACCCCATGGTTGTGGAATTAGACAGTGGTAGTCATTGCCCAATCTTGCGCATAGACTAAAAAACAACCCCACTGAATTCATGTACCTTCAAAAGGGTGAATTTTGTGGTATATGGGTTACAACTAATTTAAAAAATTTAACCCCACCAAAAAGCATGTTCTTTTGAGCACCATCCTGCTAGCTAAGGGGAAAATGGCCCAACAAACTGGCACCAAAAAAGAGGAAGGAATTCTTGGTTTCCATTTCTCCATTTGCATGGCCTGAATCTCAGTTCTGCCTTGAATATTCTTTTTTTTTAAGATTTTATTTATTAATTCATAGAGATGCAGAGAGAGAGAGAGAGAGGCAGAGACACAGGCAGAGGGAGAAGCAGGCTCCATGCAGACAGCCCGACGCAGGACTCGATCCAGGGTCTCCAGATCACGCCCTGGGCTGCAGGCGGCGCTAAGGCGCTGCGCCACCGGGGCTGCCCTGCCGTGAATATTCTTGAAGATTATACCGGAAACTGCCCCTCTGGATGGCAAGCTTGGCCATGACACTGAACTCCACTGGCAGATCACCGTTCCATCATTTCTGAAGGGTGTCAGAACAAAACCAGCAAGGAATGC